GCTATGCCTTACTCTGCCCAAGTCTGAGCTTGAAGATTTGCATTTTTAATTTGTTGGCCCGAAATGCAAATGCATTCTCTTTGCTTACAAGCAAAAATCAAGTTGATGCTAATTTGGTCGATATTACCGCTTTCTGCCCATTAGGCAAATGCAACACCCATTCGCACACACACACACACACACAGGCATACACACCACATATGTCAAGGGGTTTGTCACATCGATGATGATCCGATTTCCGTAACCGAGTGTCAAATGCATTTGCAATAAGTTTGCCAAAAATCGGGCCCGCAAACCTTTGATATTATTTTTGCTGGGAAATTGAATTTATAAACGATTTAGATAAATTTGCAATAGCAACAACAACAGCAAATTGGCCCGCACACGTTACAGGGAAACCACCCCAGGCCCAATGACAAGAGATAGTCGATAACCCTTTGCATCCATCCCACTTCTCACTCCTTGTTTTTGCTAATTTTCATTTTAATGAAGCGCAAAATACAAAATACAAAAATTGCAATCAGATTGAAATTCAAATCAAAAACGATTATGAAAATCGTATCGATTACAGCAATGAAAAGCGCAAACATTGTTAATAGATAGCTGATTGCATATTACGGAGATGCGGCTCACGGGAAAAGGGGGAGGACGGAGGGTATAGGTTTAACCAAAATTAGCTCTAGCCTGAGATAGCTCCAATTTTAGAGTGTCCATAGTGGGTTCGTAAGCTGAAACTTGAATAATCTCTTTGAAGATATCTTATATAGGTTTTATATAGGTTTTTATAAAAGCAGTCATAGATACGTCTAATGATTCAAGTCAAAATATTGAGGCAAAATTAGTCTGGCTCTATATCTCATCTTATGATTAACATATCAATATGTATAGTTCATAGCTCATATTATCCTTGGAGAAGCTGACATCGCTGTATATATGTCTTTAAGATCTCCAAAATACACTCTCTCTTCAAAATATACCTTTCTATCTGGAGATGTACAGTAAATCATTCAGATATTCATTATAGTTAGAGGATCTGAACTAAGATAAGCTCAAAGTTTTCTACCTTTCCCTTTATCAAATGTAATTTCAACTACCTTATCAATAAACCCCGTATGCCTAGAGCAATTGCTCTTATCATACAGCTGTTCCAATTCAATGGCTAACTGTATTTGAATATCTCCTTGTGGAAGCTCATTGAATTAAAACTGAAGGATCATCGAAAAAGGACACACACACCTACACAACTGACAGCCGCCCGGGCAGCTGGACACTCAAGTGAAGTGCTCCGATTTGGTTGGAAGCATCATTAAGGACTTTTCGTTAAGGAATTCGAAGAATAGCAATAGGAAAGGGAGTCGGAATAGGAATGGCTATAACAGAGCCACCCCCACGGCTGGATGGCAATCGTATTGACTGAAAAAAGGCGTCCATTCAAATGCTATCAGAAAGTTGGCAGAACGCTCGTAAAATCTCAAGATGGACAGCGGACGTCACATAAAGAGCGCGCATAAATTTTTGGCCAACAATTGAAGTCGGCCAAAACGAACGAGCGAAAGAACGAACGGCTGCTAATTGAAAGGCACGAGACGGTCCGCATAAGATCAGGCAGCCCAGCATCTGGACAAATATTTACCGAAGCTTCACCTTTGGCTCGTAAATTGCCGCCTAGAAAGGGCCAAGAGAGCGAGAGAGACAGAGAGAGAGAGAAAGGGAAGGAGAGGGAGAGTGTATGAGAATGGGCCCAAAATCGAAATCAATATCTAAGTGAAAGTAATGACCGCTGTCCGTTCCCTCCGTGCGACAGATCAGTGCTGGACAGAGACATTAGGCTACTGTTCCTGCTTCTGCTTCTGCTGCTCCTGCTCCTGCTGCTCCTGCTGCTGCTGTTGTTGCTGATGCTGTTCTAGTAAAAAGAAAATAACAACACACGAGACAAATCTGGGCTAAGACACCTTGCGACGTCGCCGTGTGGGTTTTTCTTACCTTTCTTATTTTTCTTTTGCAACTTTTTTTTTTTTTTTGTATTTTTAGTGTGCGGCAGCTGTTGACGCTTTGTCTGCCGGCAATGCTGGCCGGCACAAAGGACACGGCAGGTAAGCCGCTGCCTCCAGGAGAGCATACAATGTAGAAGAGATGGGAGAGCGAGAGAGAGAGAGGCAATGTGTTGCTGCTCTTAAGCTGCTCAACAGCATGCGCCATCTATCGTCGGATGGCAGCAGCTCAATATAATCTGTGAGGCAACTGTTGCAAAAACTTGTGTCGAGAATGGGTTGCACGTGGAACTGATGAGGCGCACCGTTGTGAGTATAAAGAATATTAAGAATTAGAACTAGAAAGTTTCATTTGAAAAAATTGAGCTGGGATATTTAAAGATTTAATAGGCAACAAGATTGCTGGAAGCTGGATTTATAGCAAGTTGAGTATGATATAATGCTATATGAATGAGGCTAAAAATATACAGCTGACTTTATAGAGGCTGAGGCCTTACTGCTCTAGTTAAGGCATAACAGTTGAGCACCTGAATCAATGAGTTATTAAAATAGGGAATATATTATCTGGACAACTTTTGGTTCTAGTAAATTCCATCGGCAGAGATTCCTTAGGAATTCACACAAGCCCAAGGACATTGACAAAGTGATCTCGTTTCCTACTGGCTATTATTTGTATCTTTTCTGGTCTATATAGATCTCTGTTCTCCCACTCTTTCTTCTACTCTCTCTCACTCTCTCACGCACACACACTGTCACTCTCTCTCACTCTCTTGGGCTCTCTTCTATCTGTCTGTTGGGGTGGTTGCTCGGGCGAAACGAACCCATAAACGTTTCGAGCTCGCGATCCGCTCGTCATTTCCGTTTGTTGCCTCGTGCGCTGCAGACGTTCACGCGCGGTACGAACTGTAGAAATACCAAGAACACAAATCCAGAAGGAGAGCACCTCAACAAGATTTCTAAGCTCTGATTCAGGCTGGACTCAAACACTTAGTCTATTTATCTTCTTTTTTTTTTTGCTGTGCGCCAGTTAAAAGTGCTAACGATTTAGATATTTAAAAGTGCAACTACAAAGGCGACATAGTCGCATATATATAGTATATATAACTATTCATATATATATATATAGAGAGAGAGAGAGAAGGAGAGAAGGAGGACATAGAGCTCAGCTATCAGGTAAGTGCAGAGTGTTGCTTCATCTAAGATCGTGTCATATTCTAGATTGTGAGTAATCGATAGCTCATGTTGGGCTGTTGCATGTGATCCGAATACTCGGTCAAGTCTCAGCTACATCGATCGCTCACACCTGGCAATGCAAACACACACACACACACACACATAATCATAGACACACACATGTGTGTGAGTGTGTAATTGCGCTCGCACCCATGTGCCGCAACTTATTTGTCTTTTGCCCCAGCTCTAATTTTAATTTGGCCAAGAAATGGGCAAAGGGAAAAGGGAAACCCTAAAGGACCTAACCCCTAGAGTCACATCCACACACAGATCACGGACAGACAGAGAGACCCACAACCAGGAGACTTACGATTACAGCAAAGAAAAAAAATTAGTTGCCTTCCAAAGGGGTGGTGCGCTGCTCTAATACATTTAATTTGTTGCTGCTTTTCTTTCGACCTTCTTTCCATCACTTTATTTTTTTTGTTTTTGGTTTTTTTTTTGCCCCTGCTACCCTGGGCGAGCTGCTAATCCTCGATCATAGGAGGGTGCGAGCGGCATTTCCGATTGCAGATCGAACTTCCAACAGATCTTAAGTAAATGGAAAAACATTTTTTTTGCGCTCTCGCCTTGACTGGCTGCAATTTTTTAATTTTCTTCAGGGTGACGTTTATGGATTACATGAATGCCCTATTTTCCTTTCCGATTGTGCGTGTGTCAGTCACTCAGTCTGTCTGTCTGTGTGTGTGTGTGCGCGCGTGTGTGTGCGTGCCTGAAGGCTAGATAAACAGAATGAGAACGATCCTTTCGTTCCGTTCGAAAAAGTTCCTCCTTTGGCAAAAATGGCATCATTATGCTGGGGCGTAATTGTTTCACACACATACACAGACACCGACAGAGAGAGAGAGAGAGAGAGACAGACTCTGCCAGATCCTTTATTTTTTTTTGGCAAGGACTCGTTCAATTTTATGGTTTGCGGCGTAGCAGAAAGAAGAAGAAATCTATTTAAGTATACGGCAGAAGGATTCTTTGCTGGAAATTAGCATAAGTATAATTTGAATTCCGCCAGGCAAACCAGAAATCGCGCGCGCATCAGAAGGTCCTTTAAAAGGAGCCGCAGGACGAGTACGTGAAAAACTCGTTTGCCGCAAAACAATTTGCAAAATTTCTTGCTTTCTGCCCATTGTCTTGCGACGCTTCATTATAGCTACGAATTCAATATACCAAACACACGCATACATATATATATATATATATATAAGTATTTATATATATATATATCTTCTTCTTCTTCTTTTTTGTCAGCCAGTTTGCATGCAAAACGAAAACTCGCTCGCCAGCTGCCTAAGTTGGCCCAGATAGCAACTCGACTATGCTCAACCACCTTTCGTATGATCGAGATCTTATCATACGATACGTAAACGATTCAATTTAGCTTTATTAAAATAACTGTAATGGCTGCAAATTGCCAAAGAAAAGATGATTTATATAGAGCAATTGTCTCTCAGCAAAGAAAGGCTGAAGAAATTGAAAGGGAATATATACAGTATGTATCTTTATGTATCTATGTATTTAATTTCTATACTTTAATTTGAGATACTTACAATAAGTTTATATAGTATTCGTTCGCAATTCTCTGAAATGTCGTACATTCTCTGATTTTGATTCTATATGTGGTTAAAAGATTCCTTCACTTATAGGCTTATTTTATGTGTATCTTTTAAAGTTTACTGTGTGACTTAATCAAAAGCTTTTCTTAAAGCTTCTTTCTAAAATTATGATATTCAATCTTCTTTCCCAATCCAATCTCACCCTATCTCTTCTTCTCTTAGTTAGGACATGCCCACCATGACACGCATGCATCGGCACTCCAGCTCGAGCGGCGTCGAGGAGACGCGCGGCCGGCGTCGCAATGCCAGCGGCGATGCGAACAAGGAGAACTTTGGGGTCCACTTCATGAGCAGCCCCTTCGGCAACAGCAGCCTGATTGCACTGCAGGATCTGAGCAATGTGCATGGCAAGAGTCCGCAGCGGCGCAGCTTCAGCGAGGGCAGCGGACCGCGTCAGGCCACGCCGCAGCTGGCAGCGCTGCGCTGCTTGCCACGTCTGGGCGGCGCTGTTGGCGCTGCGGGGGGCGGCCTGGAGGACTCGCAGTTGTCGTCCTCGCGCATGGGCGACACCACGCTCGATCGCATGCTGGACGCCATTATAGAGTCGGCGCGCAAGGAGGTGCGCTGCAAGCATCAAAGCGCATCAGCGTCGACGGCGGCGACGTTGGCAGCGACGCCTGGCGATGGCGAGTGGAGCGAGAGCAGCGTCCACGAGATGGAGGTGCGCACGCCCACGCACCTGAAGCGGCAGCGCGTGGTGCGCCGCAAGAATCAACAGAAGCAAGCCGCAGCCGCTCTGCGGCCGACCGCAGTCGAGAGGCAAAAGAATGTGGGCCTGAGCAAGCAGCCCAGTCTGGAGCATATACCTAGCATCAAGCGTTGCTTGAGCTTCTCCTCTTCGAGCTCCACATCCAGCGACTTGGAGGACGAGGAGCACTTTGCCAAGCGCGGCTCCATGGCCTCCTGTGTCTCGGGCGCCTCCTCCAATTCCAACTCCAACTTCGCCTCCCATTCCAATGCGACGAGCAGCGGCGATTTCCATCCACGTGGCAGCATCGACTTGAGCATCGCCTACGATGCCCATCAACAGCAATTAAATGTACATGGTGAGTTCCAGAGTCCCGCTTCCCCTATTCCCCATTCCTTCACATGCTCCGCATATATATAGAGTGGAACAGTGACATGAAACAAATGAGGTGTTAGTCTGGAGAGAAACGAAGAATGTTTATTTTCTCTAATTCTCTAATTGGAACGATGGAATGAAACACTAGAACAACTAATTGATACAAGCGATTTATTAGTTTGAATTGAAATGAATATTATCTCTATTTACCCAACTCATACTTCTTAGATCGAGCATTTTGTCATGGGAACAATATAATGGAACAGGGGAACAATGTAATAAAACAGCAATAAATGAAGGGCTTTCTCATTAATCAATTAATTAGTTAATTGTAAGTCTTAAATTAAGCATTTGCGTCTTTAAAATAATGAAATGAAGCAGTGGAACATTGAGAATCTGTTGTCTGAGACGAAGAGCTTTCTAATGTTGATATCCTCATCATTTAAATTCCTTGAATTAGGTCATTGGAACGATGGAATGAGCCAGCAAATGTAATGTATTTTCGCAATTTCGATTACTTGAATGGAGCATACATTAGTGTACTATACGATATCTGTTTGATCCGAAGAGGAGTGCAACATTCAATGTTGAATAATTCCAGTCATTCAGAATCAATACTATTGAACATGGTAGACATAGCAGACCTTCAGAGTTGACCCGAAAGAAAGAAAAATAAGCTTAAACTCAATGAGATAATATAACAAATAATTTAAATTCCTTTACAGTTATACGCTGTCGCGATCTGCAGCGATTGCACGGCGCTGGCAGCATCAATGCATACGTTAAGGTGGCCCTACTCTCCGGCAATACAAGCAGCAGCAGCGAAAATTCGAACTGCAACTCGAACTCGAACTTGAGTCGATTCCAGCGCACGGCCGTCCATCGGCACTCGAGTCGTCCGTACTTTGATGAGCGCTTTAGCTACCATGTGCAGGATGCTATGCTGCAGGCAACGGCAACGGCAACGGCAACGACATCAGCAACATCGACGGCGTCGACGTCGACGTCAGCATCAACAGCAGCAGCCCTGCAGCTGGCCGTTTGGCATCGGGATCGGCATTTGAAGTGAGTACGAGTAAGGTCAATAGCAGCTATCAGCAGCCAAACAAGTATCATATCGAAGGCTGACTACTGTCGCCTGTCTGTCATGTGTGCGCGCGTGTCATTCACCCCCAATGGCGAGGACAATGCTAAGCTAAGGATATGCCTGGCAAAAAGGCAGCGACAGCGACAGTGGCTAAGGCGGGGGCCTGGGCGGCGACGTAGGCGTAGGCAGTGGTGCGGGGTGTCTCAGCCTAATTGTAACGTTTTCCTGTAGCACACTTTGCCATTGTGCATTTCCTGCACATAAACAAACGCAGCGCCCGCAGCGGGCGAAGTGAGTTGGGGTGGGCAGCTTGAAATAGCTCTGGAGTGACTTCCAGCACACAGACACACACACACACACACACACACACACATGTGCATGGCGCACATCCAGCGCAGGCGCTGTGAGCCCCATTGTCTCTAGGCCGCTTTCCAGCTAACTGTAAAAAGTTGCCTGGGCTTTAGTTTTTAGGTTGGCCGTTCGTTGTGTGTTATTCCATCTCTTCCACATCTTCTTCTTCCTCTTGGTGCTCTGTTCCGTTTCGTTTGGAGCGGCTCGGTTCGGTTCGACGTGAACGCTGCGCTCAGTTCGAGTGTTAAGCTCGCGCGACGCAGACGCAAAAAGACGCAGAGGCTGGCAACGACGCTGCTGCGGCAAGGAACACACGCAGCGAACGAAACGCAACGACGGCGTGCTCTAACTGTTTCCCACAACAAATGTTGAAAAGTGTGTGCTCGCTCCATTGCGATAACAAAAATAATAATTATTACTCAAGAACGTTTACACGTCTAAACGTTTAGTTTAGTTGCATTTTTTTGCGAAAGTTTTTTTCTTGTTCCCTCATTTGTGCACAAACAATTGCAAGCGTGTGCCACATGCTCTCAGTGCTGCTCTGTGTACGTGTACGTGTACGTGTGTGTGTGTATGTGTGAGTGAGTGTGTTTATTTAAATGCAAACACTCTTTGGTATGTTGGCAGTGCTGTAATTGCCTTTTGCGCTGGCAGCTAAAAGTATGCAACACAAAATTATATAACTGCTTATGTGTGCGTGCCCGCCAGCCAGCCAGCCGCTAGGCAGCGTGCGTGTGCGCGTGCTAGTATGCGAGTTTTTGTGTAGCATAATTTTAGGCATGCTGCTTAATAATTGTGCCTCGCGCTGCTCTGAGTGCGTGCGCGTGTGTGTGTGTTAGCTAGCGTGTGAGTGTAGTTAACAACGCGCTCAATGGCCAAGTTAATTGAAATTCAAGGACACGACAGTTGGCCTGCTCATGCAAACCATCAAACCGTCATACCGTCATTCCGTCATGCACGCATTCACACATTTGGTCATTCACATTGCCTTTTAGCGTTTATGTCAAATCGATAAGCGCGCTCCACATTATGCAATGGCCACAGGTCAGAGGCACTGCCATTTCCTGGCTAATTGAAGCAGGCAGTTAGTTAAATGCACACCTGGGACCATATACACCTGCACACACACACACACATACGCACACACGGTGACGAGCACACACACCTGGCACATTTGTTATGCATGCATAATGAAAACATTTGAAAAATAGTTCTCCTTGTTGTCGTCTATTTGCAAATGCCTCGTTAAGCATTTTAAGTAAATTTGCCCAACGACTATTCGCTAAATAATTCATTTACCGTTTTGATGGGCCTGTGGCAAGGGTTAAGTGTTGAGCCCATGAGCTGCCGTCCGCAGTGGCAAGGCAGGTGGCAACAGTTTCTGTCGCAACTAGCTACGCAGCCTGCTACATTTTTAATGCACTGGCCCCATTTGTGTTTATTTCTTTCCTTTTTGTTTCTGTTTCTTTTTTCTGTTTTTCGCCCTGGCGTGCGCGGGCGAGCTTTGCCGAAAATCGAAAGGACCCTCAAGTCCTTGCTGCCCTGCCCCTCCTTCCCCCTGAACTTTGTGCCCGCCTTCCAGCGCTGTGCCCAAAGCCGAAACTGTCCGTCAGACAGTTGCGATTGCAATCGCCCAACTTTGGCGCTGCTGCAGCAAATGAAAATCAATAAAACTGACCCAAATACGCGCGGGCAAAATTTCAAAGCGGACAGACCTAGAGCACCACCTAAAGAAGAGGAAGGCTGAGGCGCACTTCCGGGGGTCTCTCCGTTCCGCCCACCCGCGCGCCCATTGCCGACATATCGCTGCGTTGTGGATCTGTGGGAATGCTAAGCCATGACAGCTTAGTTGGCGCTAATTGATTTATGTCACGTACCGCAGCTGTTGCCTGCCAAGGTGGGGGAGGCGGAAGTGTTGCGAGCACTGACAGAGCGACAGAGCGACAGGGAGAGGGCGAGGGCGAGGGCGAGGGCGAGGGCGAGGGCGAGAGGGTCCGTAAAAATGGTAAACAAAATGGTAATGCAACGTGACGCAAAGCGTCCAAAAAATCTAATCTCATAAGACGTCATTGAAACTATTTCTAGTCAGAGTCCTGTCCCAGGACTCACTCGAGTTGCCCTTGGCCAAATAGAGCTCATGATTTGTTGGATTCGTTTGTAGCTTCCTCGAAAAGGTCAACATGCGCTCGGCATTCATGTAGGCTAGTTAGCTATCAGGGAGATCTCTTTGGTACAATTTACCTTCAGGTTGTTCCATTAGTCCACTTTGTAGTCCGACATCGTGCGCTGTCTATCTCCTCTATTAATCGCTTGTGTTTTCGAGCTAGTCAGTCTATTACGCACAAGGCACTGTGAATTAGTTCGCGGATCTATGGAGGGAGTAGTTAGTCCCACTCTCGCCCTCCCCCGCACCCACTCTCGATTTGTTAATTGCGAGTCGGCTTAGATATGCAAAGCAAGTTTGTAATGAAATAAACTGAAAGAGGTTTAATATAATATGTAGGTAGCTGCTGTCAGAGTCAAAGTGCCTCGTGAATCTAATTAGGCGCACGCTGTATCGCTCAGTCTCAGGTTGCATGCATGCTGTTTCCATATGAGAAGACCTTTCGCTGACTGACATTCAATTTCATTAAATTTCATGTTCGCAGACGCAGTGAGTTCCTCGGCTGCCTCACATTTCCACTGAGCGCTTTAGTGCAGCAGAGCCTTGGCGCAACTGGATCCTACAAGCTACACTCGCAGGGATGCCTTCATAGCTGCCGCAGCACGAGCAGCAGCAGCAGCAGCAGCAGACCGCACGTCCCAGCCCACGCAACGCCCACAAGCCGCACTGAAGAGAAGCCAATCGAGCGGAAGCTGAGAGAGAGGGAGAGGGAGCAGGTGAAGGAGCACCTTACAGCGACTGTTAACGCTAGACCCGCAGCGGTTGAGATGTCAACGATGGCGGCTACAGTGAAACCGAATGCCACAGCCACAGCAACAGCCACAGCCCCAAGCACAGCCGTGCTGAGCGATGACGTCATCAGCATCAGCATCGATAGCATGGCTGCCGCCGTCGGTCCGCTGGGCAATGGCAAGGAGGACGCGCTGCAGCAGACGCAGCAGCCGACGATGGTGCTCAGCAAGAAGGCGCTGCATCAGCGCGATGCCGATGAGAATCTGTTCTTGCGCTTCCTCGAGCTGGATCCGCCCGCCGATGGCAACGCGAACAGCACCACGGCCAACACCGGCAACACGGGCAGCACGTCCGGCGGCACACTCAATGCGAACGCCATGTCCAATGCGAACGCGAATGCCAACAATGCGAACGCCAGCAATGCGAATCATCTCAATGGCGGCAACGGCACACGGCGCTGCTCGACGCTGCCGGGCAACAGCGGCGGCGGCGGCGGCCGCCAGCCGACGGGACGAACGCCGTTCACGATGACCAAGCGGTTGACCCGGACGGAGGAGCGCGGATTTGGCTTCTCCATTGTGTGGACGCATCCGCCGCGCGTCGAGAAGGTGGAGGCGGGCCTCTCAGCGGATCGCTGCGGCATCCTGCCGGGCGACTATGTCATCTTTGTGGACAAGCACAATGTGGTTACGATGCCCGAGGCTGATGTTCTGAATTTGATACGATCGCAGGGCTCGTCCTTAACGTTGGAGATATTCAGAAGGTCAGGCGCGGGCGCCAACATGGCCACCAATGCCACCACCATCAGCACGGCAACACCGACAGCCATAGCCACAGGCACAGGCGCAGGCACTGGCACTGGTACTGGCACTGGCACTGGCACGGGAAGCGTCATCCATAATCAGCAGCAGTCGCAGCTGCGCAGCCAGCAGCTGCTCTATGGCCTAGAGGAGCAGCCAGCCAGCGTTGTGGCGCTGCAGCAGCGCACCGCCAGCGTTCGTCCCCAGCTGCTGGGCAACACCATCTCGAGGCCGGCCACCGCCTGCTCCGGCACCACCTCCTCCATTGAGGCGGCCAAGCGGCGGCTCCACCTGCCCCAGGTCACGTTCAGCAAGGAGGTAGGCAAGGGCGTCATTGTCTGAGACCAAGCAGCCAATCACTCAACCACTCAATCGCTCAACCACACGACCACCCCGACCGCTGCTAATTTTAGTTGCTTGTCTTTACTTATGAAATGTGCTTAAATATTTTTTTTCTATTTGTTTTTTTTTTTTTTTTGAGATTTGCCTTATTCTTTGCACTTTGTACATATGTTTAGCGCATTATTGTTAAGTTTTAACGTTTAAGTTTTTGCCCTGCGAAACATATATACATACATATATGCATATGTATATGTATATACCTCTATTTTTTTGTACCCCCTAAGCCCGTCTGAAAAGTCCCCATCCCTTGCTTGACAATAAAGTTTTTTTTCGGTTTTATTTGCTTTTACTATTGTTTTTGCTTTGCTCCGTTCGCGTTGACGGAGGTTTTAAGTTTCCTCCGTGCGGTGGGCTCTGGGAGCTCGGAGCTCGGAGCTCTCACGAGCTGTTTCCGTTCTTTTAATTGCCATTTTAATTGGGTTTTCTTCCGTTCTTGCTTTGCATAGTTTTAGGCTCTAGGTTAAAGGTCTCGGTTACAATCAGCACAACTCAATCCGAAAGCTTTTTAACGAACTAAGTATGTCAAATGAAATACGAGTATCATCCAGGCAGGATTATGAAATAAGAATTGAGATTAAAATATATGGACTAGAAATATTTTTCATGGAATGTATCTCAGTAAATCGCTGGAGACTTTCCTGCTCTATTATCTCCCTCGATTCTTATTTTAGATCAGATTAGATTAAATTTAGATTTTCTGCTAGGTTAAGCGTACATCTGGAAGAGGATTATTAAGTGTTTGGGAGTGAGAAGCATTTAAAATTGTCGTGCTCTTAACCATTTAATAGACAGATTGCTTGCGACCCGCTAGATCCTTAAGACCGTCATTAAAATATTCATTGTTATCTTACTTATGAATTCAGCTCTAGCAGATGAATTCAAATGATGTGAATACATGAGCCTACATACGGGCTAATCAGCAGTCGAAGTCTAGTCAGGGCGTTGGCTGAAGGAGAAGGTTATCCAGATATCAATATCAAGATAGGACAGTTCTGAATAGTTTGCATAGTTCCTCGAAACGAATCGTCTAGCACACGCTCAAGCTAGAACTTTACTTAAGCTAACGTAACCCTCTATGCTTCTCTCTCTCTCTCTCTCTGTCTTTCTCTCTCTCTCTTTGCCTGTCTGTCTCTCTCATTGGTCATGCATCGATGCAGTCCATTGTGCCCATAACGGATAATCGTCGACGCTTTCTGCTGCAGCTCATCAGTCGGGAGCAGAACTTTACGGCGGCACTCCACTTTGGACTGCAGCGCTTTGTGCAGCCACTGCAGGAGCGGAAGGACCTAATATCGCCGAACGATCATCGAACGCTGTTTCAGAACATTGATGAGCTGCTGCGCATCGCCGAGGACATACTGGAGCAGCTGTGCAGCAACGAGCAGGAGCAGGAGCCGCACATGAACTTCGCCTCGCGGGTCTATCTGTCGAAGACGACGGCGATTTGTGCCGCCTACAAGAAGTACTGTAATGGCATCAAGCGGGCCGATTGCGTCCTGGTGAACAAGTCCCGTCAGACGGGCTCCGAGTTTGTGGCCTTTATCACCGAGCCACCTGTGCCGCGCAGGCGGCCCGATCTCACAATGTTCATCCATCGACCGCTGCAGCACTTCAGGGAGATTCTGAAGCTGATGCAGCTGCTGGCAAGCAATTGTCATGTGGACACCGAGGAGCACAAGAACTTTACCACTGTGATCGGTGAGCTGCAGGCCGCGTATCGCGAGATAACCGTCAGCAGCGGCCTGATGGAGCCCCTGGGCGAGGGCCGTCCCCTTCTGACCCTGCAGGACTTGGAGTCCCGCATGGTGTTCACCAAGTGCAAGCCCTTTACGCTGGCCGTGCAAGGCCGCCAGTGGATCTTCGGCGGAGATCTGTCCCGCGTCGAGGGGCGCTCGATAAAGCCCTACTGGACGCTGCTCTTCAGCGACATCATTGTGTTTGCCAAGGTCAGTCGGGATCGCGTCCTGTTCATCACCGAGGAGCCCATACCCATAGCCAACGTCGTTGACTCCTGCTTTCACATGCGCAAGAAAAGTAAGTGCTATTAGTCGAGCTAGAATATCATCTCAATCCATTCCGTTATTCACAGCCACGGAATTCCGTCTGACTGTCGATCCCAATGGCCGTTTGGCCGAAAGCCCCACAGGATACTGTGCACCGGATCTGACGCGCACGCCCAAGCGGGGTGCCAGGCGGAAGAGCCTTATCCTGCGTGCACCCTCGCTGGAGCTGAAGGCCGTCTGGCAGAATCTTTTACAGCGTCAAATGTAAGTTTTGATTCATTCGCAAATGCATTTGTAATTAGAGCAGAATCTGGATATAAGAAAGCTCAAGGAACCGTCGTTATACCCGGAGGATGCCAAAATTTGTGTCTCTACAAGAGGTGTCGTTATAACCGGACTCCACTGTACTTCTGTAGGATATAGGATTTGCTATAAGTAGAGTCTTTTGGCTTCGAAGCACTCGTATAGCTGTCTAGCACTTGTTGCCCGAGAAATTTTCTTATCCGATGGTATCGGATACTGTACTTGTATATACTTCCATGCGGAAAACTCTAGAAAGGCCATCGAAATACGAGTGATACTATTTCCGATCTATGTATTTCAATAGCTTAACTTGTAACTAAATTAGACTTTCCCGATTCGCACATCACCCGATTCTATAACCGATTCTGTTTCGTCTTTCCTTTTCCTTTTCGTCTAGCTTTCTGGTGAATGCTGCATTGGGGTCGACGCCTCTGTCCAGCCCGCTGGACTCGCCGGATGTGCTGAACACGCTGGTGCCCTTAAGTGACATTGGAATGACGTCAGCATCGATGGGATCGATGAAGCTGCCCTCGCTGGACAGCATCAATCTGAAGCAGCAGCAGAAACAGCAGGTGCGTCTCTTTCGCAGCAAGCGCCTGGATAGCGCCGATTCGTATGAGAATCTGCAGCGCTTGGCCAGTGCGCTGGTGCCGACGCCCCATCCCAGCCACGTATCGGGCGCAGTACCGAATCACGCCCATGCCCGCATCACGGCCAGCACTCAGACGGCCTCGCTGCCCTCCCGCACCAACTCGCCCGCCCGGCTGACGGGGGGCGTGCGTGCGCACACCAACAGCTGCGGCGGCTCCATGCCCAATGGCGTGGGCGGTGTTGTGGGCATTGGCGGCGACAGCTGCCTGCGCCGGTTCAACACCAACAGCTCCTGTCTGAGCAGCAGCGTCAGCCTGACCGCCCACACGCAGTCGCAGTTGCAGTCGCACTCTCAGTCGCAGTCGCAGTCGCAGTCGCTGCCCAGCGCCAGTGCGAGCAGTAAATGCCTAACGGCTATACCGGAGGCGAGCAGCGAGCCGGCTGCCTCGTCTGCTGTGTCGGTGGCGACGCATGCGCAGAAGCTGCTCGAGTTCAGTCTGAGCTCGGTGGGTCGCTCGTTCATCGACGAGTCCACGCATGTCGTTCAGCAGGTCTCCTCGCTGACCACGCCCGATACGCCCACGCCCAATCTGTCGCCCAGCTCGCTGGTGTGCAACTCGGATGCCTTCTCCAATGACTTTGTGCCGCCGACAACGGCCGACGTGGCAGCGGTGGCCAATATACCGTTGGCCGAGTTCGGCGGCTCTTGGGATTTGTTGGAGCTGGATCTGCAGCTGAATGAGGTGAATCTGGATCCGTGCTACGACACGGATGTGGAGGAGTGCATCTTTCTGGGCGATGGTGTGGGCGCCGGCGCCGGCGCCGGCGGCGTCAGAGCTGGTGATGGCAATATCGGCCAAACGGATCTTGACGATGACAGCGACGATGACAGCGTCGTCGCTGTGGACGATCCATTTGGCATGCTGCCCACCAAGCCAACGCCGCCGGATTCTTTGGATCTGTGATTTGACTTTTGGCTGTTAACCGATGCGGCAACGGACCCAGGCCACAGCCACAGCCATAGCCATAACCACGCCCACACACGCACACAAGCGGAATCCTTAACTGAAAATGAGCTTAGACAACCACTTAACTGATTTACTCTAATCAAACTCTACAACTCTAAACTTTACAAGTCAGCCAATCCCTATGTCCACGACTCTCTTTGAGATGTTAGCTCGATTCTTTTCTGCCTTAGCCCTCACTCTTGTAACTTTATTTGCTCTCTTTGCCTTGCTTTGGTGTTTCATGTACACAGATTCCACATAGGTTCCATTTCTATTAGAAAGAGATGCGAATATACGCAAACGATCCACATGCGATACACCTATGCTCAATAGACCGCACACTTGGTCCATGTTGTCTACACACGGATTCCATACTGCTTATAACACATGGGTTCCACGTTCCACATAGACTCCATATATGATAGACCTAGACTCCACTTGGGTACCACACAGATTGAACTCTGTGAAATGGGTGTTATACCTTCGACCGATTCGACAACGCTTTCAAATACGTTCCACACGCGATCCACCTATCGATCCTTAGCAATTGAGCAAATGAGTGTGATCTATTTAATGAATGCCTTATGGAAGATAACTGTGACTGCAACTGGCACAGTAAACGCAATTAGCGAACTGCGATTTTTAGATTAACGATATACAGATGCAATTCAGGAGTTTTAACTCAGTTCTCTGCGATCGATCAGATTGATAAACAATTATTTGTCTTGGCTTTGGTATTCAGGTCTTACATATATATATATACACACAAATATATATTATCAATATTGTACAGGTTTTTTGATAATCAAATGTGAATTATCTTTTGTAAATTGCACTAATGCTAACAGGTTTATTATTATATACATATATATAGTATTCATATATATACTGCTTGAGTATACTCAATGCTAAGTACGTAATCGTAATCGTAATCGTAATAGTAATCGTAATCGTAATCGTTTTTTCTTTCTACGTATACAAAATGAGTGTATTCAGCGTCCCATCTTGATCAAAAATCTATATATATATATATACAATATTTATATATACTCGTAAATCTATATATACTATTGTACTCGTTCTTGTATTCGTCTATGCGTATCATCCATAGCCAGTTGAGTGTAAATATCACGAAAAGCAAAAAATCTGGGTCGATATTTATGCCGATGTGTCTGTATGTAATACTAGAGTAAAGCAATTCGTACATAGTAATTTCTAGACTTTAGTATTTACTAGAGTAGTTAATATGCCCCTAGATAGTCAAATATACACATGCATATACATAGCCCGATATACATACACACACACACATATATATATATATATATATATATATATATATATAGACACATATACATATAGAGAAAATGCGCTCCAGCAGCAGGGATAATGCGATCATAAAAATATACAAAAGAAAATCAAGAAGACAAAAAAAAAAAAAAATACAAACAAAAATTATTAAAACTCTGTTTTAAGATCACGTTTAACTATTCATATGAATCGTCTTATTCATTCGATTTAAAATGTTTTTTGCCAACGTTCTTAACGATAAAATTGAGAAGAAAATTAGAAACCAAAAGAAGAAAAGAAGAAAGAAAAAAGAAGGAAATATGTTAACTAACGAAACGCTTCCATTTTGTAGCAAATGCCAAATTGAAATTTTGAAAAAATAATCGATACGAAACTATTGTTATTGTTGTTGTTGTTCTATGTATTACCAAACTAAAATTGTGTCCCTAGTTCAATTCGGATTCTTACACTTAAACTTAAGTTGATACGTTAGCCAAAAAGGAAAAGAAGAGGAAAATCAAAAATCGCTGCCATAAGAATTGTTTTTATTGATTTATTTATTTTTTGTTCGTACTGTAGGGTATACACGACTCATCTCTTCCTCTTGTTGCTTTCCCGCTCCCCCTCCGTGTACATAGTACTCCGCACCCCTATATACATATTTATACATATATATATACGCTAGCTATATAACTGTAACTGTAACAATCTTTGCTCAGTCTCCAGCGTCCAGACGTACACTTAGCGAAAATGTATGTTACTTAGCAATAATCATTGGTACATAATACTAATCGTCTTTCTATTTACTAGAGTATATACTATATATATATTATATATATATATATAGATATATGTATATGGATCTCTGATACAGATGTCGTTGTCAATTATTTACTGTTATGACTCGCACTTTGTTGCCTTGCGTAATAAAGTCGTAGCTCTACACACAAACACATGCAGACACGTACACAAAAGCGGACACACACACATATGGAAATTCGCAGTTTGCATGCCAGATACTTTGTAGCTTTCATTTGCCCTCAAAGAAATTAACCCTTCAAGCTGAGTCATGTTGGCAATTAAAGTTTTCTAATTTACACAAATATGTAGCATACTTTTCAGGGCGCGTTTCACATGCATTTCATTAGCGCAGCCTTTGCGGCTTTGAGCTGATTTATGTTGGCCTTGACAGAACTTAAGAGCAAAAGTGACATTAATAACGTTGTGCAAAGACCAAATTTATTTGCTTCTCTCACTTCAGTTTGGCAGCTAACTCAAGCTGAAAAGTTTTGAATATATTTGTGGTAGTTATAGAAAATTTTAGCATATATTATTATAGATCACTTTTTAGGCTTCAATCATTGGGAATTCCCATATATAATTCTAATTTGCTAAATGAAGCAAATTCGATTCAGGTTACAAGATAATAGAGTACGTTTCTAAGCTACATTTACCTAGCTATGATCTATTTAAATTAATTTGCAGCGAAAGCGTCTGATATATCAGCACATGAAAATAGTTTTTGTGCCACTGTGCGACCTGAATAACTGCGACTGCATTGCGCTGAGCTCTAATTTGATATAATCTGAGCACACACGAAATTCAACACGCATCAGCACACATACATTGATTTGATATAATCTCACTACACACACACACACACACACACACACACACACACAGTTGGCTCAATGGCCTTCTAAAACGAGATATCGTGTATACGCCACGTGTACGCGGCGCCCCAATGAGCAAATTTGTGTTGCCGTAGCCGTAGTTTATTTGTGTTTTCCCTTTTTCGCATTAAGCTATATATAACTATTATGTAATCTCACATATATACAAAGTACATTATATACCCTCGATATATATGCAAAAGTATTAAGAATCAGCATTTGTCATGCATAGTGTGACAAATGCTCATCTAGGATATGTTTAAAAACTTTTGATTTCCCTTTTTAGATGCTTTTGAGTTGCCAGCAAAGTGCAAGATTTACACATATACATATGAGATGATTTGAGATGAGTTAAGATTAGTTCAATTCAGTTCAGTTGAGTTGAGAAACGATGAATAATAAAAACCAAAAAAGTCTTTGACTAAAAACGCTTGTGATGTTCTTTTTATTTCAATTCCTAAAAAAAAAGATACGATTCTCCAACCAAATAAAAAACAAACCCACCGAGCACTCACTTTGTACCACTCTGTACGTTGCCCAACAACTATTCTATATATTCAAAAAAAAAAAAAAAAAATGAATCTAATACTATCCCGGTCCCGGTTCATCCTGCGCTCAAAATTGTTTTGACCAGAAAACAAAAAAAAAAAAAAAGTAGAAAAACTAAAAATAAAATTGATAAATTAAAAATTGTGATGGCCTCAATTTTAGTTTAGTTTAAGTTCCATTGCAAAATACTTCTGTCGCTTCTACTTTCATACTTATGATTTGTGCTTCGATTAATTATTATGGTTATCTTTATCGTTATCGTTATCGCAGTCTGAACCTCTGCAAGTGCAAGCGTTTTTAATCAAAGATGGCCTCTGACCACAGATCGCGCGTTTTTATTGTTTCTGTTTCTCGATAGCAAAGCCAACATAAAAACTTAAAATAAATTTCTAAAAAATAAATGAAAAATATCAAAAAATACCTAATGAAACCTTAAATGCCAAAGTCAAGCAACAAATAACTAGCTTAAAATACTAAACAAAACGAAGAAGAATTTATGAGCAAAGATTGTCAAAAGCGAACAAATTTAACCAAAATTTTGATATTTTTTTGAGCCCATCACAAATTTTTAATTTGCAATCAACGTCGGGCAGCTGCAGCTCTGTGTGGTTGTGGTTGTGCGTCTGGGTGGTGGTTGCGGTTGGTTTGGGGCGGGGCATCGCTAGGTCAACTCAAGCTTTAAGCTTCAAGCTAAACAACGCGCCTCTTGCAGCAGCGCGGCCCCAGCCTTGGCCATGGCCATGGCCATGCCGTCGAGCAGATCGAGCTGCTGATTGACGAGAAGTGCCGCATCCTGAATAAGACGGGCACTCCGAAGTCGAGTGCCCTGCACCTGGCCAACTGGATGAAGGGCCAGCTGGACAAGCAGCAGCAGCAGGCGCGACTGGCGGCCATTGCCCGTTCCCAGGAGAACATTAGCGCCGAGGACGAGCAGCTGATCTTCAACAGCGACAGCGAGCAGGACGAGCGCATCATCTACTGGACACGCCAGCAGCTGGAGAAGCGCACCAAGGAGCTCAACCTGGCCAAGGAGCTGGGCGGCCTCTCCGCCAAGCCCAACTTCGGGGGCAAACGCCTGAGCGGCGTGGACGAGCTGAGCATGAGCCTGAGCGCCACCTCGGACATCTACTCGGAGGCGGAGGTGGTGACCAGCCAGATCAGCCAATCGCATAGCACCACATCTGACAGCCAGGTGAGTGAGGTATGTTTTCCTTACTATATATTATCTGTAGAGATGGGCGCAAGATTCCGAATACTTAAGAATGCGAATCACACTCAACGAATTTTAGGTCTATCGGTCCCACATACTGCTTTCTATTGGATATTTAGAGATTAAGTTAACTCTAAACTTTAGTTCTAAATTTAAAGATCTTCTTTATAATATTTATTATACAGAGGGTATATCAAAGAAATTATCATACAGGAAATATATATATAGAAGATACCAAAACACCATAATAATATTTAAACTTCATGAGAGCTAGCTTTAAAACCAGTTTTAAATACTAGTACATAGAGTTAGTATATTACAGTAGATATAAGCTCTTACAAAAGTCTTTGAAGAAACGAATTTCCTGAAAATGAAAGGACTTTTCTAGTAGCTTGCAATAAATAAACATAATTGGTCTGCAAGGCCTAAGGGTACATGTCAAGTCTCTTGCTTATATAGTGGTATATATAGTGATATGCTGAAAGATACTTACACATAGACAGGGATGAACATCATATATCGGCTAGGAGTATATATGTGTGCCTCATATAAATGAAGTTTATACCTTGAGCTTTCATTTTTCTCGTAATCTCTTATTGAGGTCTTTAAGAAAGATGTCGATTCTTGCGTAGCCTACGCCCATCTCTTGTAGCTTATATCCATGTAGAACGTATTGCTAGATCATTTGGTATTTGGTTTGTGGCTTCATCCGCTTAGATCACCGTGCGCTCCAGTCCCATAGTGCTCGACAAGCTGGCGGTGTGCCGCCACTGCCACAAGAACTGCCAGCAGAGTGGGGCCAGCGGCAGCGGTGGGCGTGGCTCGGCTGCAGCCGAGGCGGGTGGAGCAGGTGGCTCGTCGCTGCTGTGCAACTCGCTGAAGGTGCAGCACAGTCAGTCCTCGCCCAACCGCTGCTGCAAGCTGAACGGCACAGCTGCAGCTGGAGCCGCTGGAGCGGCTGGGGCAGCTGGGACAGCCGGTCAAGCAGCTGGGGCAGCTGTGGCTGGCAGTGGAACGGGCACCGGCAGCGTGACCAGCATCTCCAGCAGCACCATCACCGGGGAGCTCTCCTCGAAGGTAGTCGCTAGCAGCAGCCGGCGCGAGACCGGCGACACCGAGAGCGATGTGGCCCAACTAATCACCGACGAACTGTCGCTGTCCCAATCAGAGGCGACAGACGACAGCGTCAATGCCATGCCCAACAGCAGCAGCAGCAGCGCCAAGCTACGAGTTCTAGAGACGGCGCAGCCGCTGCCGAACGGCCATTGCTCTGCCTCAGTCAACGCCTCTGTCTCCACCTCCGTCTCTGCCAAGGCCTCTGCCTCCGCCTCAGCATCGGGCTCGCCACAGCCGCCGCCCAGGCGTGCTCGAGTCGTGGCGCAGCTGTGCCAGGAGCCAGTGCGTCAGCAGGTGAAGGCCGTTGTGACCATTACGGAAACGGCTCGCATTATGCGCAACACTGAACGCAGCTCCAACACCAACGCCGGCGCCGGCGGCGGCGCCAGCACTTGCCATTGTCGCTGCACTCCGGAGGACTTTAGCCAGCTGGCGCCGGACAAGATGGAGCAACAGACGTGCAAGCTGCTGGAGTCACCCAAGCAGAAGACCAGCTCAGTGCAGCTGCAGCAGCAGCAACAACAGCAGAAGCAGCAGCAACAGCAGCAGCAGGAGGATGAGCAGCTGTCGCTGATGCTGATTGGGCTGGCGCAGTTTGCACCGGCTGCCAAGCTGTGCGGCCAGGCAGAGGAGACGACGCCACCCACCATAGCAGTGGTGCCGCCCACGCCGGACGCGGTGCTCACCAAGACCAGCACGCACGTGTGGGACAACAGCGGTGGCACGGCGGGCATGGATCAGGTGACGACCACGGCAACCAAGCAGCCCAGGCAGGCGATCATTGAGAATATACCGGAGGACTCGTGCGACGAGTCGCCGCTGGAGGAGGAGCCACCGTATCGGCCCATGAGCAGCGCGCTGCGGCGCTTCGGCACAATGTCCAGCCTCGAGAAGCTGCCCTCCGACGAGCTGGACGACGACCTGGAGCCCTATGCGCAGAACGGCCTCAACGAGGAGCTGGAGCACGAGGCCGACAACGATGGCGACGACGACGACGATGGCGACGAAGACGACGAAGTGGATGATGCCACGGCCGACAAGGCGCTCGCCCAGAACCTGCATGAGCTGACGGCCAACTGCTCGAGCGCGACTCTGACCAATGGCGATGTGCTGGCCAGTGGAGCGTGGACGAATCGCGCTGGGGCCTTTGTCACGGACAAGATGTCCTTCTTCGAGGAGTCGCGCGCCTTCATTGACAAGTACCTGGGTCGCTGGAACGCCAACGAGCAGCAGCAGGCCCAGTCGGGAGCCAATCAGACGGCCTCCGAGACGGACGAGCAGATGGACGAGTGCACCTCGGGCGCCACCAGTGGCGAGGAGGTCTGGGGCACGCCCACCAGCGGGGGCGACAACGACGACATGCAGCTGATCAACTCGGAGAACACGCACTCGGTAAGTGAGGTAGGTGATGCAGTCACCTACCCCTCCAACCCCCGCCAAGCGCCTTTAACACACTTTGCCACCCGCAGTCACCCACCAAGTCGAGCACCTCGCTGAACGACGACGACGATACGGAGCTGATGATGGATGAGCTGCTGATGGCGCCGCCCATGACAGCGAGCACCATTCGCGGACTGCTGCCACGGTAAGGAACGTCGATATCTACACTAGAGCGAGATAGCAGCACACAGAGCAAGCGAGCGAGCGAACGAGCGAGAGCGCGAAAGAGATAGCAATGACTAGCTCAAATTGTTAGATGCCTTAGACACTATATCGTACACCTAAGCAGCCAAGCTGATCTTTAGAGCTCTCATTTATTTAGTAATCGAGTAATCCTACATATCTATATATTCTTCATCTTTTAAATGTTTGTCTTTTTTTCGTAGTTTTTACAGGTGTTTCTTGCGTTCTTTCGTAACTCTATCCACACAAGTAATCCCAATCAAACAAAACAAAAAGAAGCCCATTTCAATCCAATTCAATTCGTTAACCATTTTAGTATATATGAGTTCGATATATATATATATATTATATAGACATATTTTTTTATCATCTTGGGCTAGTTTAGTTCGAGTTTTTGATTTGGTACAGACCAGCCGACCCAACCATAAGAACTAGTCTCATCCTTCCGTAGTGCCTAGTCGAGTGTAATCATAGCTAACTTATATACGAGTATTTTTTGCAAACATTTTAGTGCTATATACCATATATATAAACTATAAATATATCGTATAGTATATATATATGTACATGTATGAACATTTTGCTCAATTCCAAAATTTATATCATTTCATCACACGCTCAAAAATTTAAAATTAAAAAAAAAAATCAATCCGTTACATCTCATATCGTATATCGAATCGTATATCGTAACTTGTAATGCTTAGACGCCGTCTTGAGCCCCTGTTCGAGGAGGAGACCGAAAGCGACGAAGAGAAAACCCAACAGGACAGCGACGATATCAAAAAGGTGGGTCGTATTTAGAACAAATCAATCGACAAAAAATATAAATAATTATAAATAAAATAAACTCAAATGCTATCGAAGCTCAGAAAGGATCTAATCACATTTCAACACTTTTACCCAGCCTCAGTTCATATTATTATTTTTTCTGTTGGCATGCAAAGGCAAGATCATGCAAACCGAACTTTCAGCATCCTTTCAGCTCGATTCAAGCAAATATTTTCTTACTTTTATATACCCTGAACCTGAGTATAAAACGGCAGGAAGTAAGACAAACTTCGTAAAGCTGTTATATATTTGATTGAGCCAAGAAAGCTGACTCTATTTGTCTAGTCCATCTGAGTCAATTTATCTGTCCGTTCGTCTACCCGTTTCTATCTATCTCTTAAAGAAATTTTGATAATTTTATTCTTTTTCGGGATATCTATTCACTGAGTAAATTAAAAAAGGCTTGATTACAGTATAGCTGTGTGCATATGAGTGGGCGTGTCTCTATAGTAGCCTGCGATGATTCAAATGTCAATTCTATGCAACGTTCAGGGTATATCGTAGTCGTGCACTTCCGGCTACTGAGCTCTCACTTGTCTCAAACTGAACTTTACCATGTTCAATTTTTAGTTCTTAAATTTTTCTTGTCTATGTTCAATGACAACATAAATGTTGTTAACGCCATTTTCTTTGGGACCTCTTTTGCTGCAAATGCATACACGGCTTATACAGTGCACCGCATGCATTGCAATCAATCAAATCTCTACCTGATTGATCGAATTTTTGATTGACTTGTGTTTCTTGTCTTTTATTTTCATATGCTACATTAACAACACAAATGTGCGCCAACCGCTTGACATCACCAACATCATCTTCATCATCATCATGCCTATCATCTTGAATCGAATCAATCAATCAATCATACACACATACATCAAACATACAAATACTTTTCGCACTCTGTAAACTGTAAAACTTTTGCCACTCGCTTTCAATGTATTCCATTCTCGTTGCTCTTAACTAACTGTATATAATATGTGTATGTGTGTGTTTGTTGGTTTGTGTCTATACATATGCGTATATCAATGTATTTTAATATATACAATATATAGAAAGTCGTAGTGAAATTAGTGAAGCTTTAGCCAAACCTGCAATACTGCGAGCTCATAAACATCACACGCCAGGACAGAGACCCGCGAGCGATTGACAACGATTGACAATCGAAATGAATGCACCAAATACATCAAAATCATGCAAAAGCCAATATACAATAAATTTCCAAATCCGAATTCGAGACCGAATCCGAATCCGAATCCGAATCGATATCGAACGAATCAAAATCGAAATTCCAAAATACTTAAGCCAAAAACAATCAAAATCTACTAAAATTATGAACCAGAACCAACAAAACGAATCACTCATAAACCCCATCAAGTGCAAGCTGGATGCTTTATCAAAACCAGAATTGATTAGTTGAATTCTATTCCCAACAATTGGTAGGGGGAAGCAACGACAAATGGCCACTACCTAGAGGATTCGGCTGGAAGTTCAAGCGACGAGGAGCCGGAGGAGCCGGATCCACACTCGAGCGAGGAGCGCCTGCAACCGAGTCTGGTCACCACAGTGCTGGGCCCACGGCCGCTGACAACCACCAACAGCAGCTCCAGCCGCACCACCACCACCATCATGCTGTTACCCACCACGGCCATTACGACGCCGACCCCGTTGGAGGTTCAAGCACCACCGCTACCGCCAGTGGCCTCATCCTGCGAGTATCTACTCGAACAGCGCGCGTCGGCGACTACGGCGACATCATCCACCACGACGAGCTCAACGACAACGACAGCAGCCGCAAGAACGCCGTCGTCGACGTCGGCGACAGCAACGATGATGACGATGACGACGACGACGACAACGACGATGACGATGAGTATGGGGATGCGGACCTCGGGGTCGGCAGCAGCGACGACGGCGAGTCGAGCTCCCTCATCGACTACTACAACAACCAGCAGCGGGAGCGGCACTATCAGCTCCGCCACCAGAGCCAACGTCAAGCCACCGAGATTTATACCACCACCGCCGCCGCCTCGTCGTCTGCTGCTCACGCAGACAAACCTAAACGCTGCACCGGCCAAAACGGTAAGCACACTGAATCACCCTCCTAGTTGATCCCTCTTTACCCAAACTGTGTAGAAGTTGTGTATAGTTGTTCTCTAATTCTATCTTATATAACTATGTTTATATGTGTCTTTGTCCTCTCGTGCTTATCCTGAGTAAAATGTAGAAGGCCTATTGAATTCCAACTAATCCTAACTCTTGACTTCCATCGAGCTGTCAATTATTAAACGGTGTATCATGTTCTTATAGAAAGTAGAGCTAACTAGTTATTGAACTGTCATATCTAAAATATCAAAGATTTATTAAAGATATTTGTTCGATTTAGATCTATGAAAATCTACTTAAGCTAGCGGTTCTAGGTATGATCTATTGTAGGAATACTGTATAGTTATTTGTAAGAAAACCTCTCGTTAAACTTTACTGCTGAGCTGCATTTTATACAGAACCCAAGATGGTATTAGCATTTCTTCACGAAGTAATGCTCCCTAATCAGTTGTCTTAACAGCTCTTGACTTAAATAATAGACAGGAAATATGGAATTCGAATAGGCAAATCCTATTTAGATTGCAATCTAATCTTTTGGTTATTCAACAGCGACGATTATTAGTTGGTTGTGCAAGGAATTTGTTGTTGAATAATCGATCTTATTTTCGGTATTTAGCAGCCACCTCAAAGAAAATCTGGCGCTACTGCTGACAGTGGCTGTTCGGCGGCTGCCGTCGGCGCCGCCAGCGCTTCGCCCACAACCGGTATCGGGTCAAGGACAACGCCTGCGAGTACCAGAACCTCTGCACCGTCAGCGGGAGCGGCATCGGGGGCATCGACGGGACCGTCGGCAGGCCCAAAACGCCCATCGTCAACGATAATCGAGACTTGCCTGCTGGGTACCGCAGTGCCGGCAGACTCAGCCACTTCATCAGCAACAGCCTCGAGGACAGCAAAACCGATGCGGACCAGCACGGAGAGCAGCCCAGCTGCAGCGGTGCCAGCGGCCAAGGAGCCGGCGCCGGCGTCGGTGCCGGCTCAGGCGCCGGCCGTACCGGACGCAGCCGATACTCGTTCAGTGGGCGCTGCCCCACCGCCGCACGTTGGCTGCGGCTTAAGTCCAAGGCTGGAAATGCGGTTGGCGCTCAACCACGACATACTCGGGGACGAGGACTTGATCTGCTACGAGCCTGGTCCAGATCTAACAACTATTCTGGGGTAAGTCCGAAGTCACATAAACAGTTCAAGCAATGGTTTCAGTTAGACTGGTCTAAGATATGAAAGGTGTTAGCTATTACTTCACCAATCAGTAAGGTAGATACGAAGTTAAAGCTGATTCCTTGACTCTTTCTGAAGCAAGACTTCTTCAGATCTCCCCAGACCTCTCCAGATCTCTTCAGATCCATCGGTTGGTCCGTCCATCAATCATTCTATTATGTAAAATTTTCGACTTGCTACTCATGTCTGTCCCTCGTTCACTCTCTTTCTCTTTCACTTTACGTTTTAGGCACGACCTCTCCACATTTCATCGTCTGACGGGTCGCGATTTATTGAGTCGTTCAGCCACGAATCGAGTGCAGCCAAAAGAGGCTGTCATATCGTACTCTCAACAACGCAACTCCAAGATGGACACGCCGACGGTGAACCGGCGACCACGTCCCGCCGTGTCGACCACGTCCGGCCAGAGGAGTCACAGCAGCAGCAGCCACGGAAGTCCGCGCGCCGCTGGTTCAGCTCGTGCCGGCGTCGCCGGTCCACAACGCCAGCATCCAAGTCCAAATACATGGAGCAGTTCTGCATCTGTGGCTCGAGCAGGAGGCGCGAGCGGCGTCGGCGGCGACAGCAGCACAAGCTGCAACAGCAGCAGCGGCGCGAACAAATTAGGCGATCTGGAAATCTTAGCGAGACGCGAGAAGATATACTGCATGTCTCAATCGAAGAGTGGCTATCGAGTCAGGGCGACATCCGGGACAACCTCAACGAAAATGCGAACGACGACGACGACGACGACGATGGCAACGAGACGCGACTGTTCCTCGACAACGAGCCGAGCAGCAGCAGTAGTCTCTCTGACGAGGACGACGAGTACTACTTCGATGGACGCAGTGGCAGCAACAACACAAACACAAACACAAACAACAACAACAACAACAACAATAGCAACAAGAACAATGACTGAAGCGTGCCTCGAAACCGAAGTGGGCAAATCAAACCGTTTGTACGTTTCCGATGCCACATGTGGCACACGCACATATATTTAGTGTGCCCCATAACCCGATCTTCCTCTATGCAGAATCAACTTTATCAAGCGCCGCAACTCGGAGATAACAGCCAGCGGCAGCAGCAGCAGCAACAATCCCCACAACTCCGACAGCACACTCGGTGACGACTCCCAGTCGCAGCTGCAGCTGCACGGCAGTCAGCAGCTGCTGCGGCAGGCGCCGGACAATGCGGACATGGCACAGATGTCGCCACGCAAAGATAACGTAAGTGGAACGTAAGTCGTGTCCCGGCTCCATTTGGTGTTACTTCGTTACTCCTTTGATCTCTTTCTCCAGCTATACTTTCGTAGTATTTGTTTCTTCATGGCCTTTCTTGACATTTCCTGCTTTATATCCCTGTCTTGGCTTTACTTTCCTTTTAATTGGCTTACTAGTCTTATTAGTTGGAGTGCTAGCGAGTTCCAATTCGGAATATATACTCGCCAAGACCCCAGATCAAAATGATATAGCGAATTCTAAAACACAAAACTCGAACAGAGTATCACGCAGTCGGTTGCACTCGACTGCAACACTCTTACTATCTTTTATTGCTTTCCATCCATTATATTAACTCCGTGGTATTTATTCACACAAGTTTTTCTTTGGTATATATTTCAACTTGTATTTTCATTCGAATCTGAATCAGCAATATTTTCCTTCTATTTGAAAGTTTGTATTTTTTGCCTAATACTTTTTAGACGGTTTCTTATAAATGATTGACGGTACTTTTTGCTTAATATTGCTCTATACACTTACGTTTTTATATGATTGTTATTTTTCTTTTAGTATTTCTTCTTTGTTTACTAACATTTCTTCATTCCAATATCATCCATGGCACTGCCCTCTTATTTTACCATTTTCCACTTTAAGTATTTAGCTTGCCATTGTAATCCTTCCTGAGTATTTAATTCTTTTCTCGTGAATATTTCAGATAAGAGTTAGTCAATATTTCTTCTCTCGATGTACTTATTTAATATTTCCAGCTTTTATTTGAAATGTCTTCTTTAATACGCCGTTACTCATCTTTTGCTCTTCAATATTTATTCTCGTATATTAATTTCTCAATATATCCTTATCTTAATATTTAATCCAATTATGTTTCTAAATATTTCCTCTCCTGCTGCAGGACAAGCCCTCGCTGAACCGACGCCTGTGGAAGCAGATCACCAAACGAAGACGCACCAACTCCGTATCCCAGATAGTCGCTGGCTAAGCAAAGAGTCGGCACACACCCACACCCACACCCACACACACACATATACACATTCCTTCTCTTTCACTCCTCTCTCTCTCTCTCTCTCTTTCTCTCTCCATACACATATATATCTTTCTCTGTCGTTCATGGTTAGATAGATATACATAAGTATCTGCGTTAAGCTGTGTGATATTTGCCAGCGAAGTGCTTTCATTGTGTTGTACGTGTAGAGCATTTAGTTAAGACTTTAGTTTAGCTATCCATTTTGTGCGGGAGCCTAGCCAGTTCCTCGTGAAAATCGTGCAGCCAGAGGCCGTTCACACAGTCCAGTGGCGTCCAGTTCTGTAGAGCAGTAGCTGCAGCCAGCTATAGTTTAAGGAGAGTTGAGCTAATCGCTATCAACTTTTTACTTTAGTAGAGCTCTTCGTCTTTAAGGTGTTTTTTTGCCTTGACTGGCACCATAAGCCACTATGTATTGTAGGATATTCCCTTGCTGTCCCTAGAGCTGAGCAGTCTCAGGTTTTCTACTGGTAATCTTAAGTAGCCCAGACAGTTACTGCTGGCAGTTCAATCTCCAACTCTGTGGACTGTGAGTGGCCTGCAAATCGATGAAACTGAAACTGAATATTTAGATAAATTGAGCAAACTTACATCAAAAACTGACGACGGCGATGATGATGATGATGATGATGACGATGTTAGCTGGAGAAGAACTATGTAATACTTATGCTAAGTTTTTGATACTTACAAACTTTGTAGCTAGTAAAACCCAATGAAACGATCAATGACGGTTGCGTCCAATTGCCTCCAAGTGCAATGCGACTCCTGCCTCTGCCAATCAGGCCAAGACCGAAGCCAAATCTCAATATCTCTTAACCTAGAAATACGAACAGCCAAACACGAATGGGACAACGAATGCATCGCCTGGAGGCAAGGCTTTACTAATTGTTAATGAATATACAAACCGACAACAGCTTTTATGGGCGGGTCAAAGGGCACACACACACACTCACACTAACACAATCCAGCCAAAAGAAAGGATTTATAGAGAGGCGAAGCATATTGAATATGTTTCGACTATTTTTTAGAGAATGAAATCGCAATTGATAGAAGTCAAATTAGTTGAGTTTTGCACTGGATTAGCCAGTGGAAGAGGAGATTTCGGATTGTCTGTTTTTTTTTTTTCTCACTTATTTCATTTGAATGAAATTGCCTTAAATTATATAAACTATTTAACTATTTATTGTATTTGTAGCTTAACATTTATACATCTTATGGCATTTTGCAGTTGTCATTTGTCCAGTAAAGAAAACGTAAGCAAAAGAGAAAAGAAAGTTATAAAAGGTGCAAGTAAGAGCATTGCAGTCGGGCATGACCGACTGCACAATACACGTTCACAGTTCGATTTCAAGAAAGAAAATTAAATATTTCTGAATTAACTATTATGGAAATCATAGAGCTTGCTAGGTACAGTTAGGTTCCAGCAGATCTTAGCTCTAGAACTTCCTATATACGAGTACATATAAGAGATGGTATACCCCAAGGGTATATGATATTACTCCAAATTGTAATTCGTGAACGACTATTGAACTGATGTAGGCGCTGTAAAGGCGAAATTTTAAACTATTTCCAAATTGTGTCTCAACTATTTACAGCATATTTACATGCATTTTTTTTAGTAAGATTCACAGTTAGTTTATGGGTAGGAGCAATGTGTACATATGTACGTACATATGTGCACTTGTAGTTTATTTCACATTGAAATTGTTGAGCGCAAACAAATTATACGAAATTAATAATAATAGATGAAAAAGCGGAATGGGCGAATGAAAAACCAAAAGACAAATGATCAAGTACATTTATCAGCTTTAATAGAAATTCTAATTAAAAAACAAAATAATAAAAACAAAAAACATACAGACAGACATATGTAGTTATACAAATAATATAATATACTATATTTAGAGATATATGAAGGAAAATACTTTGAATAGCGTAAAGATCGAATTATTAGGCATTTATCACTTTTAAACATTATACAACACTGAACATCAAATTGTGCATGTGAGAGGCCCATTTACAGAACAGCTAGAAAAGCCGTCCCCACAACAACATTTTTTTTACCTATCGTTTATTAATATATGCATAAAATTACTTTATAAATCTAAGAAACAAAAAATAAAAACAGATTTGAAATACGAATTAAATACACAATTAGGATGAATATTTGATGCAATTATTATGGACGTTTTGTTGCTTTTGTGATTTGATCATTAGATTGTAAATTGATAAACTTAGCGAAACAGAATTTTCCTCTTGAAATTCAATAGTAAATTCCATTATTTGAGAGAAGCGGAAAGCGAAAAACACAAACAAATTAAAAGACACATGAAATTCTAAATAAATCAAACTCAGAAAATTAACTCAACAATGACTTGTTTTAACTGGTATTTGGGTTACGTCAACAACAAAGAATCACTGAAACGCTTTAGGACAACCTGCACAAAGAAGAATTGACAAAATATGATTGACTTTAAGATAAATCAAGTTGAAAATATTAAGCAATTATCGTTTGTATTGGGCTATTGCGACTCTCCAAGAACAGAGCGTTGCTGAAACGTTTGAGGACAACCTGAACAAAGTGGAATTGCAAAATAAATGAAAGCTGGCTTTATTCGAACCGAGTAATCAATGTTTCTTGCTGCTGCTGCTGCTGTTGACAAAACATATATATCTCGATCATTGCTATTTCGGGCTCTGGCCGTTGTCAGGTCGTGGGAAATTAATGATTTTAGCAATGCATGCAGTTTAATTCACTTGATTGATTGCCGCGCACCGCCTTCCCCCATCCCTCCGCTCTGTCAACTCAATGTGCAGCAATGAATGTATCCGGCTCTCTATATGCCATCAAAAACGATCTATGTATAGTTCTGATTGCACATCGCATCGCTGACTACGAATAGCAATAACAATGGCAAAGAAAAGAGCAAAAAAAAGAAGAGAGAAAAAAAAAATGAAAATTAATTGTCAGGCCCAGGCCCAGGCCCAGGCCGCAGTCAAAGCTTCAGCCTAGACCTCAGCTTTTGCCTCTGCCACCGTCGCCGTCGCTGTCGCAGTCGCAGTCGCTGAGTCCCGTTTGGTGCGTGCAGTGAAATGCAGTTTTGGAGCGTGCCGAACAAAAAATGTGGGAGAGTGCGCTCGCTCTCTTTTGGGTGTAGTTGCGCCTGTTGCTGCTGCTGCTGCTGCAGTAGCTGTCGAGGTTCGTTTAGAGAGCGTGGCGCCGTCGTCATTGTTGTTGTTGTTGCTGTTGCTGTTGCTGTTGTTGTCGTCGCAGCTGTTGCCACCGAGCTTTCGCGAGCTCAAAGCTGTTGTCGCTCAGCTGAGCGCTCAGTTTGAAAACGAGTTTCGTGGCGAACGGTCGATCAGCGCCAGTCGTAGCCGCAGTCGTAGTCGCCGTGGCCCTATAGAATTTCGCCGCAGCCTCTCGCCACTGTGAGTGTGTGTATGTGCCAGCGTGCCTCTGACTGTCTACTGTGTGTGCGTGTGTACGTGCGTACATTGTTGCATTGTTTATTTACATACATTACATGCTTCTCCGTTTGGCGTTTTAATTGGGCAGCGACTGCAATTGTGTGCGCCTGTGTGTGGGCAGTCGCTTAGTAAATATTAGTTTCGGTGTTTTTTTTTCGGTGGTCGTTACTTTTTTTGTTTTGTTTTTTTTTGTGCTTTCCCAAAAAAAATCAAAAATCAAAACTGCACTTTGAAGGCGCGCGCATCAGTGTGTGTGAGTGTGTGCGTGTGTGTGCTCAGCTGCATGTGAACTAACAGGAAATAACGAGCAATTAAACAAACGACGTTGACGCAGGCGCAGACGCACTCGCAGTCGCAGTCGCAGTCGCCGTCGCAGTCGCTGTTGCCGTTGCTATCACAGTTAGAACTATGGAGCCCAAGACTCGCTAATTGAGGTCGTCGCTAGGTAAGTTGTGATCTGACTAATGCCTCTTCTTCTTATACTTCTTCCACTTCTGCTGCTGCTGCTGCTTCCGTTTGCCTTAGCCAAGATTGAAATTCACAAACAACAGCAGCAGCCGCAGCAGCAGCAACGCTCGCCAAGTGCGCCTCAGATACAGATACAGATACAGATACAAGAGATATAGATACATAGAGACAAAAGATACACACACACATAGATACATAGATACACGGATACACTGAGGTGGCAAGCGTACGTAGACAAACGGTAAATAATGCCGGTGCTTCGGCTGCTCCGCCCGTAACTCCCCAAGGCAAAATTTGCAGCACGCACCGTGGCACGCAACTCAATCAAAATGCAATTGCATCAACTATGCTTTAATTTAGGTAAATGCATTCAACGAAAGTCGCAGATAAACAGAAGACTCGCTGAAGCGCAGCTCTGATTCCATATATAACTAACGCAGCCTATGTATGTATGTATGTGTATGCTAAAACAAGTTGTATAAAAACTATTGCTCATTGCAATTATTATTACAGGAAAATCAACTCAATTATATATTATATTATTCGCACCAGACCAGTCGTGGTCTCTCTTTCATTTGACTGACATACATGGATAAAGCAATTAGATTATCTATCGATTGTGATTTGCTTAATAGCTCTTCGAATTTCACTTCATCATTTATATTTTCTTTTGTCTATGCGAGTGTCGGCAATTATGCATGCACTTGCACCACTGTGCGGCAAATCAAAATGACAGATAGACGCTGTAGCTGCAGCTGTGTGAAGTCTGCTGCCCGCTGCCCGCTGAACGCTCTCAGCGCCCCGCTGGAGTTTAGTGTTAGCCAGTGAAAGCAGCATCAAATCTGCGTCTGCTCTATCTGTATCTGTATCTGTATCTGTATCTTTTTGTTTTGTCTCTGCATCTGTATCAGCAAATGTAGCTGTATCCATCGCCAGCTGAGAACCTAACTGCTGCTGCAGCTGGCATTCCATCAACAACACCATCATCATCAGCATCTTCTGGGAGCCAGCAGCAATAATAATTATCTAACTATCTGGCCGCATAACTATCTGTTGATGCTGCCCCTCAAAAGCCACAACGGAAACGCGCCACTTGCTTTC